ATAATTACTTACATTTCAGGTCCTCCTACTAAATTATGAGGACATTAAAAATCTGGGTCTTTGTTGTGTTCACTCTATTAATCTAGCACCTAACAAAATGTAAGTCATACCATGGATGATAAATAAATGAGCATCAATGAGTAAACATTTAAAAATGCATCTACTATGAGTAATATATATATTTTTAAATCTATAACTATACTTTTTTCTCCTTATTAAAAAATGCTGTATATATTTTTTTAATAAGGAGAAAACCAGTATATTTACTTTTTGAAAAAAAAATTAACTGCAGATACCTTTATTTTTTTTGAGACTAAGTCTCGCTCTGTCACCAGGCTGGAGTGCAGTGGTGCAATCTTGGCTCACTGCAACCTCCGCTTCCCATATTCAAGTGATTCTTGTGCCTCAGCCTTCTAAGTATCTGGGATTATAGGCATGCATCACCACACCCAGCAAATTTTTTTGTATTTTTAGTAGAGACAGGGTTTCACCATGTTGGTCAGGATGGTCTCAATTTCCTGACCTCGTGATCTGCCCATCTTGGCCTCCCAAAGTGCTGGGATTACAAGTGTGAACTACCACACCTGGCCCGCAGATATCTTTGCAGCAGTGGCTTTCAAGCTTTTGGTTTGGGAAAACATATACTCTTTAATATTACTGAGTATTTCAAGGAGTTTTTCTTTATATATGTTACAGCTATGTATATTTCCTGTATTATAAGTTAAAGTTGAGAATTTAAAATATTTATTAATACATTTAAAATAACAAACTCATTCCATGTTAAAATAAATAATATTTTATTAAAAGTATTTTATAAGCAGAATTCATGAGGAGAATGCTATTTTAAATTTTTATAAATTGGCTTAATTTGGACTTAATAGAAGTCAGCTGAATTTTTACAGCTACTTCTGTGTCAAATCTCTTGTGAAGTCACACATTAAATAACCTCTGAAAAACTCTACTGTGGATTCTTAAGAGGATGAGAATGAAAAAGGCAAATTCTGCCTTTGCATTACTATTAAAATAGTCTTGACTTTGTGGACTCCCTGAAAGAATTTTTGAGATCACGAGGGTCCCAATGACATTATTTTGAGAACCACACAGGAGAATGGTAAAAACAATACAAAAAAAAAATGAAACATTATTTCTGTCTCCTATTTTGAAATTATTTTTGTTTCATTAAATAAAAATTTTTTTTATTTATGAGGCAGGCTTGTTTTATATAACTTTTATAAACTATTTATAAAGCTAGAACTGTCCATTAAAATATTACAAAGCATTTGTAGTAGTTTTACTATCAATGGGTTTATGTAACCAAAATGAAAATTCACTAATGGCCATTTTCCATTAGTTTATTCCAAAGAACAGGTACACTACATTTTATTCTTCACTACCTCCTTGCTTAAATCTTTGTCTTATCTCACAAAGACAGCTAAATTATTAATTTTGTTAGATTTTTCACTATTGATGAAGATTTTGGATACTGCTGTTTTACTGTGAACATGAAAAACAAACAGTAATTATATAATTTTATTATGGAAAATTTATATATATATATAAATGTAATATGATACTACAATAAAATCCAATACGGTTAATCTCTGAACTCTAACAATTGACAAATTATGTTCAATTTTATTTCATCTACATCTTCCCTATTCTCTACACTTAGCTAATTTTGAAGCAAATTTCAGACATGATGTCATTTAATCTGTAAATATTTTAGTGTGCATTTCCAAAATATGCATTCAATGGTGACTATAGTTAATAATACATTGTATTTTAGAACAATGCTAAGAAAGTTATTGTAATAACACTCGTTAACACAAGCATTATCTCATGTAGTTATCACTGTTTCATGAAACATATATACTTGTATATATATATTTCAAAACATGATGTATATGATAAATACATATCATTTTATCTGTCAATTTAAAAAATATACTCAATTAAATCATTAACATATAGATGAAAGTATAGCTATCAATAAATCCTTAATATTGCCAAATATTTAGTCAATCAAACTAGGCTTTTGGTTGAGTAGAAAATGACATAGGAACTAGCCAGGGGTGTAAATGTTCTCTGTCATTGTTTCCCTGGCATTGGCTTAAAATTTTTAGATACTATCAAAGATTGTAATTTTTGGTCCTAGCCTCATATGTAGATGTATTCACAAAAATTTAAAGTGGAAGTAGAATATACAAGGCAGATTGTTTTAAAACACTTAATTTAGTATGGGATTATTTTTCCTAAGGACACATGGAAAATATATTCAATAGTGATCAATACAGGGTAACAATAACAAGGTAACCATTTTTAGTATTATTTTAGGTAGATACCAAAAGAAAAAGGGGCATTCAGAGAAAAGATGTAGTACATTGCTAGAAAATTTATTGTCCAAAACAATAGCCTTCTTTTTGTGAAATCTATATACAAAAGAAATCAAATGTACTTTGGAGACTGGAATATTTACTAAAGAGATAACATTTATTACTATGTTTTAAAACTTGTTTCTAGTTATAGTAAAAGAATAAGTATAGAGTTAGAAAGATAAATAATAAGGTCGAAGGGATAATTCTTAATACAGCATAAAATAATGTATTATAGAAATAAAACAGTATTTCTATAATAATAAATAGAAAATAGGCACATTGGCATAGGTTCTGATAATTTAGGAAAAAATGATTTGAAGATTCCCATTGGACATCATGAAAAAATAATTTTGGCAGTGTTAGAGAATATGGTGGTGTTTTGCTTTATGAGCTAGAGGAAACTGAAATCGTTTTTAGCAAGTAATTACTTCTACAAAGGAGCTCTTGGATTTTAAGATTCACCTGGAATTTTTTTCAGTACTTAAAATACTGTTTGAACGGCAATAGAACTATGAAAGGTTGAATTATCTGTCTCAGGAGAAAAATGACCTACTCTTAAAAGGAAAACAACATTTGACTCCCAATAAATTCATTTTCTATGAAAATAAACAAGAAAATTGCTCAAAACAAAACCTGTTCCATGTCCACATGATCCACTGTCTAAAATCTGCAAGGAACAATAGGAATTACACTAAAGAAATACCCTGTTTTCTTTCGTAAAGTATCTGTTCAGACATATATGAGGCCAACAATCATATGAAAAAATGCTCATCGTCACTGGTCATCAGAGAGATGCAAATCAAAACCACATTGAGATACCATCTCACGCCAGTTAGAATGGCGATCATTAAAAAATCTGGAGACAACAGATGCTGGAGAGGATGTGGAGAAAAAGGAACACTTTTACACTGTTGGTGGGAGTGTAGATTAGTTCAACCATTGTGGAAGACAGTGTGGCGATTCCTCAAGGCCTTAGAAATAGAAATTCCATTTGACCCAGCAATCCCATTACTGGGTATATATCCAAAAGACTATAAATCGTTCTACTATAAGGACACATGTACACGAATGTTCATTGCAGCACTGTTTACAATAGCAAAGACCTGGAATCAACCCAAATGCCCATTGATGATAGACTGGATTGGAAAAATGTGGCACATATACACCATGGAATATTATGCAGCAATCAGAAATGATGAGTTCGTGTCGTTTGTAGGGACATGGATGAATCTGGAAAACATCATCCTCAGCAAACTGACACAAGAACAGAAAATGAAACACTGCATATTCTCACTCATAGGTGGGTGATGAAAAATGAGAACACATGGACACAGAAAGGGGAGCACTAAACACTGGGGTCTATTGGGGGGAAAAGGGGAGGGCCAGTGGGAGGGGGAGGTGGGGAGGGATAGCCTGGGGAGAAATACCAAATGTGGGTGAAGGGGAGAAGAAAAGCAAAGCACACTGCCATGTGTGTACCTACGCAACTGTCTTGCATGCTCTGCTCATGTACCCCAAAACCTATAATCCAATAAAAAATTAAAAAAAAAAAAAAAAAAAAGAAATACCCTGTTTGTGAATCAGTGCTTTAAAAACAAAAACAGTAAATATACCATGTTAGATATACTGCCTATACATATATAATACATAAATTTGTGTATTTATATATATATATTTGAATATTTTCTACTGATGCACATTGTCCATGAAATTCAAAGAACATACTTGATCAAAAATATAGGTAATATTCATTTTTTGAAATTTCATTAAGTTGGAAAAATTTATATTTCATCTCACTGACTTAAATATGGACTATTTAATTGTAATATAAAAATTTCATTTAGCTTTCAAAGAGCTTCCAGGTTATGAAAGGCAAAGAAGACTGAACACCTATCAGACTGAAAGAGATGCAGGAGTCAAACAATTAATGTGGGATCCTGAACCAGAAAAAAAAAAAAAAGGTGGGTTAGCGAAGAAACTCAAAATTTGTATAAGGCTTATAATGTTTTAATAGTATTATATCAATGCTAGTTTTCTGAGTTTGATCACTTTATTGGGATTAGAAGTTAATATTAATAATGGTGGGCAAAGAGTGGGCAAAGAAATGTCTGTATTATTTTCTGAAAATCCAGAAAATAATTTAATTATTTCAAATTAAAAAGTCCACCATTACCTTTGGCTTATAAAGGAACACAAACAAAACATCAACATAAATTGACAGTGTTCAAGTTGAGTAGGATAGGGGAACTTAATCCTTGGAAGAATTCAAGACAAATTTTTAATTTTCTGTGTAAGAATGTCTTATATTCCTACAACCAGTGACCATATTTCTTCATATAGCAACACCTGCGTAGCATTATAATACCATGTGCATTAAAACATATAGTAAATGAAAAGAATGATGCAAATATGTACCATTTAGTACCTCCTCATATTAATGATCATGTCATCAATGTCTTTTATGTTCAAATATATATCCTGCTTATTTTTTTACATTTCTCAACACGCAATTTTTGACATAAAAAGTGATGTTTTCCAAAATTTCACGAGTCATAAAAACTGAAATCCAAATGTCAGTACATATGTCAATGTGACAGAATAAAAAAGATTTGTGATTTGCTTTACCTGAAACTGTGTGATCCTTTAAGTCTCTTGTTATTTTTATCCTTGCATGAGGAAAGATGTAGTGCATACTTTTCCCATTCATCTGTATAATCTAAGACATACATGTGATAAGGTAAAAAAACCAACATTAAAGACATTTAAAGTGCAATATATATAATTAGAATCATTCATTTCAAAGCACATTGATTAAATCAATGGAAACAGTAGGAGATTCCAACATGATGGCAATTTAAGCATCTTACGCTAACACTATATGATGATATTATTGGTTCTGAGTTCTTATGGTTGTTGCATTTATAACCAATTGCTCTTGCAAACTGATTTGTTGGATTGGAAAACTGATAAGTGCATGCAATAGGTTCTGAAGAACATTTGTTACTACAGTAGTATGCAGTCAATATTGATGTCCTTGGATAGAGAATGTATATGGAAAATTGCCAGCTGCTGATTTTGCTTTAGACAGCCTAGAAATGGAAAAACATTTTTAATTTTCAGCAGTTAAGTGGTGCCGAGGGAGAAAAAACAGAAAAGATCTCCCTACTTTGACATCTCTGCCACCATAATCAGGACTGCTTTGTTTATGTTGCTTGATTTATTGTGGCACTGTACTTCTGCTGAGCACATGTAGTAGAAGTTTCACTGTATACTAGATACAGAAACTAATTCTATAAAAACAAATAAAGGCTTTGTTCATTTTAATACTTTTTAACATTCAAAGCTTGCATTGTTGATGGTGTTATGTCATAGAGACATACCTTAGGGCAGAAGAAGTTAACACTTAAAGCTACTGTTGCAAATCTGTGATTTCAGTTCTCATTATTGAGACTCCAATATGAGAATATTATAGACTACATTACCTGTGTTTCCACCTGGTGAAATGAAGTTTCTGAAACAAAAGTAAATTAGCAAATGCAAACTTGTGCTTTATGTTTCATAAAACTTTGCTTTCAAAAGAGATTTATAAAATAATGAAAGATGAAATTGGAAAACATTTACTCTTATCTACATTAACAGAATTTTATTGTATGGAATTTTGTATGTATTTTCATTGGAAAATTTTTGGCTTAAATTACAACCAAAATAAAGTTTAATATAGGTAAAGATTTCATATTACCTATTTTAGAATATGTTTAAGAAGTGCATCCCCAAAAGATAAAACAGAATTTAGAAGTGAAGAGGCATATATTTTGTGAAGAAATATTCCTTAGAAAACTCTTGTGACCTTAATGTGTCCTAGCATTTCCAGCTATAAAATTGCTAGAATTCTGGACACTAAAAAAAAAAAAAAAAAATAGGTATTAAAAGAACTAAAGCTAAAATTTTAGCCTGTAGCTTTTATTCTCTTTAGGAAAGAATATGCTTAAGCAGGCCTTATATGAACATAAAATACTCCCTAAACAACAGTGGAATCCTGTTAAGTCCAGGATTCCTGCAGAGAAAACCAAAAGTACGGTGTACTAAACTGTAAAAATATTAGAGTAATTATAAGTCAATTCAGATAATTCATACTAACACTAACTTTGTAGACCATTGAAAACCTTATTCATACTTGTAAATAAGTGCTTATCTTTCTTCTTTTTCCCTCTCTTGCCTGCTGTTCACTCTTCTCCCATCTCTCTGTTTGCCTCTCACTCTTTCATTTCTGTTACTTTGCCCTCCCCTCAGCCTTTTCTCCTACTTTCCTTATTTTCCTCTTTCCTTTTCCCAATCTGCATTTAAAAATCTTTATTTTTTACTAAAAATAAAATCGTGTGCATTGAAAATTTTGCAACTATTAGGTGTAACTGAACTTTGCTTTGGTACTGCAGATAATTCAGTAAAATTGGTGGATGTTACTTTATTTCACTCTTTCCTAATCTCAGGTATTAATAGTAATTCCAAAAAGTTATTTATACCACTCGTCAAAAATAAACTAAGAAAACACAATTTTGCCTTAGTATTCTTTCCAGTTTTCTGACTGGAGAGACTTTGATGTAATCTCATAGTGCATCTATCACACAGCTTAGAAGAGTCATCATCAGGCTTCCTAATTTTTTCATTAGTTTTATCAGATAGCCACTATTACCTTTAAATTTATAGCAGAAGGAATGTCAAACACCTTAATTTTATTGAATATTGCTTTCAGAGCACCTCATACAATCTCCTATAGTCTCAGAGACTGTCTACACTGTCTTCAAGCAGGATCATAATAATCCATTTAATAAATCAGGAACACGAAACTGTCATAATTATGATCAATATGAGCAAAAATCTGTCTTCCATGCATGAATTAGATGTATGACCTAGATTAATCTCAGCTTTTTAATAACTATAGAGAGTGAATGTTGAGAGAGTCCTGTATCAGATGGGGATATGGGTAGATGTTGCTACTGCCAAATTAGAGTAGGCACAAAGCCAAGGGGCAGAACTGCTGTCAAGTGGTGCTCCATTCCTCTCCCAAAGGGGCTGGTCTCTGTCATCCTTGTCTTGGTGATTCCTGAATGATAGAATTATTGCCTATAGGATTCCCAGAAAGAGGATTGTTTTTCCCTAACCTCAAATATTTCAAAAGGAGTTATTTTCAGAAATTAAGCCAGCATATAAAAACAGTATATTAAACAAAAAAGGAATGAATTGAGCCCTGTATTTCATTCGCAGAAGACAGATATCCTTCATGCCCTTTTTGTCAACATATTGTGTATTCATACAGACATTCATCTATATGTCTGTATGAACACACAGTATGTTATTCATCTCCACATTCTAGATGCATGAGGCAGAGTGCCCTGCTGGATTCCTAGCACTGTACACATATATAACATGATGGTTGGACTAGAGAGCTGCTGCTCTCAATAAGCTCACCACACAAGACAGAATACATGGGTACTACTGTAGCACAAAAGAAGAACACTTACCCCAGATTTCTGGGGGGTAGGGCTGGTAGGGTTAGGGGAGTCTTCTTGCATAATGGGACATGTATGTAGAAACCTGGGTGATAATTATGGTTTGCCAAGGGATGAGTGGAGGAAAAGTGTCCAAGGAGAGGAAACAAAACATACAAATTCCCAGAATCAAGAGAAACAGTGGCTCTTTTATGGGAGCTTAATGCACCTCAATGAAGCAGTTGTGCAGAAATTGTAGATGATGTGAACCTAAGTGCAGAAAGTGAAGGGATTTTATAATAGTCAAGAAGTGTTGACCTTTACAACCACCCTGGGAAAGGTATTAGTCTTATTTATAGATTAAGTGACTAAAAAATTTTTAAAAACAAGAGATTTCTGTTCAATTCACAAAGCAGAGCCAAATTTCTACTGAAGAATGCATATATATATGCTTAACCTCTTATATATATATAAGTATACATATATATTTGAAATGAAGCAAATATGAATTTTCAGATTTGGTTTATCTTTATAATTACTATGATTCTGTCTAATAAAAACTTTTTAGAAATATTCTTCTATCCCTGTAATGTATGTTTATGTAAACTATTTTTAAAAGCAGATAAATTAGTGTTTGCATTAGTCATATTGGTTTTATTACTTTTGCCTCCAAAGCCTTTTATGAATATGAGTTCTTGTTATACAAATGTTTTCAAATAAAATCATCTGAGTTTATTGGTACCAAGAGCTCAATATTAGCTTTTATGATTAGAGAAGCAAAGAAGTTAATAATACAAGAATGCCATTTTGTCATTCTCCATGCCAAAATATAGATATGATGAGTTAAAGAGGAAGACAGTATTTGAAGATAAATATTAATGCAAAAAGTACAAATTTTGAACTTTATATAATTTAACTTTTGAACTTCATGTAATTAAAATGTGTTTTATGTTAGAGTCTATTTAGAAAAAAACGACAAAGAAAAACAAATAATTATCACAAAAGCCAGCACATTTGTTATTTATCTGGGCAAGGGAGTGGTTATGATCTGACAGGGCATACAGGGGTTTCGGGGGTAGGCAATATTCCTTTTCTTGGCCTGTATGGCAGTTTTACGGTTGTTCACTTTTAACTAGCTTATAACTTTGCATAGCTTCAGGTTCAATAGTATATATATAGTTTTTTGTTTGTATGTTAGATATAAAAACATAAGAAAATACAAATGTAAAAAATTACTTTTAGCAAGTATATATACATTATTATACTCACCTAACATGAATCCTTATGTTTCTACTTAAGAGACATAGCAAGAATTTGATTAAATAATTCTCAAATATACTTTTCTCTGCTTAATTTGGATATTATATTGGTCTATAATTATATACTATTTAAACCATTATTACTATGTACTCAGTAGACCAAAACCACAAATCTGTATATCTTAGTAATGTAAAGTTAGAAACAAGAATGTCCTTTAAGATGTGAATATTTCATTTACATATATTTGGGCTGGGCATATTACTTTAAATGTATCCTCAAAGAATGTTAGTTTGATAAATTAGGTGGAAAAGACTATTCTGAGTTTTTTTAATATCTCAATATGAAAAACACTGAATTAAATTATAGTGAGTTTATATGAATCTTCTCAGTTGTTCAAAATATGGTTGTTTTCTATATCAATAAATCATGAAACAGACAGGATGACTTAGGAGCTAATGTAAATGAAGTAAGTCAACTATTTCTTTTGGTTATTTTAATAATCATAATGAGTACACAATCTGCAAATACATGATCTGCTAAGGCAATTGATGTAAGGCCACTTGACTTACCTGAAAATTGTCCTTCAATTCGCTAGACTTTTAATCTCCTAGGTGTATTTGAAAATTCAATTCAAACATCACCATGTTCGCTCAAAAATGAGTAAGATCATGAATTTTGGTATCATGCTTATTTAACTGTGAAATTTACCTCTAAGTTTCAATTTCTTCATCCATAAGAATACACTGATTAGTAATATCCACTTTTTGTGAGTTGTTCTATACATAAAATTCAAAAATACATAACAGAACAACAATATTTCCTTATAATAGATCCACTAAAATATCAGCTACCTTTCTCCCCCAAATTAAGCCTTCTTTCTACCCAGCTCACTTGGTTTGGCTATCCTCTCACTTGCTCATAGTATCTGAACATGTTATTGGAAAGCATTGAAAATTACCCAAATCTATTTCACCCAAGAGCTCCATATATTCTTTTTGATGTATAGCTGTGCTGGACATGTTATACAAACTTAGTAATGATCTGTTGGAGGAATGAATCACTTAAATTGGTAGAAGCATCATAGCTATGCTCCAATTTCAATCAGTCATAACCTATGAAATAAGCTGTATTATTCCTTTACATTACTGGCAAAAAAACATCTGTGAAATTAATAGACAAATATCTTATTCCTTTTCAGACAATTAAGACCATTTTAGGGTAGAATTGAATCCTTTTCTTTTCATAAATCTGAACGAAATTGCTAAATATAGCACTTACTTGCTCTTGATGTTGACTGAGTGGTCTAGAGTGGACCAATCTTTCGGGCAGTTTTCGGTCCAGACCATGTCCGTTTTCCAAACGAGACTCCCTGGGTTTATCAAACCAATCTGTTTCCTCACGACGCAGATGATAGGCTTTGGACACCAAGGAAACATCATACATTGCAATGGCAAGTAATATAGATGACTGAGGGAAGTAGACGTTCTGTAGTACTAGCATGCACTAGGCTTATTAACCATACATGCATTTCAAACATATCTCCCATTGCGACTAGAAAAATTATTTTTGTCACTATGTTAAAAATAAAATTATGTCAAAAATTTTAAACCATAATCTAGAAAAAAAATGATGCACACAGATGTTCACAATCTCAGAGCAAAACAAAACAAACAAAATCAAGTTTTCAATAAGGAGGAAAAGGATATTAGGTAGCGATAAAATACTTAAGTGAACAATTCCTCAAAACGGTCATTCTATTGAATTTCACCACATTGGTTTCCACATGCACACATTCCCATCCTCTTCCCACAAACCACTACCAATTATTTAAAAAAATATTCCTTGTACGTGGAAGTTTCTGTCACTTTCCTACCATTACATAAACCCAGAGACAATAGGTTGCTGCTGGCTTTCACATTAGTTTTTGAAAATATGACATTTCTATGACATTCACAATGAACAAAAACATTTATTTCTAAGAGAATGCTGGTGTTATTGCTAGGAACATATGTACCATGATTACATAGTAGTCTAATATTAAAAATATATCTATTATAATTTTTAATAAAATCATTTTTTTGAAGAGAGGTACTGACTTAGAAAACAGACTGAAGAGTTGATTGCCTGCTTTTTATACTTACACTGTGACAAAACTTGACAGCTTAATTTTTTGAAAATGTAACTATATTTAAGGTACACAATTATTATTTTAAATTTCATTCATTAGTATTTCTCAGGTCTTTTAAAGATATCCTATAATGACTGAACATCTTGTTTTCCCTAATATGCAGAATTTGCCTTTTATACATTGTTTTATTCTTTGTAAAAGAATCTGTAATTAACAGTCTCTGAAAACACTTTGTTGCTTCCTCTACAGTAGAAGAAACAACCCTTCTCAAGTGCTCTTTCTTTAAAGATTTGCTGATGATGTTGTCAACCTCTGTTTTCTTGAAACTCCAGCTTCTAGAACGCCATACAATATAGTTTTCTTTTTCTATCTACACTCCTATTTTCTCTTCCAAAACCTCCTCCCAACCTTTTCCCCTAGGTCATTTCCATCATATTGTTGCTGCTGGGGATGGCAAACCCACAGCATATGTACCACTACTCACCTCTATACCTCCTGTGATCTTGGTCAACACTGATACTTAATTACAGCATTTTCCTCCCAGAATACAAAACGAATAATGATGTGTCATGGGTTAATTAGTCTTAGATTTGAGAAAATATATTAATACATATCTGTTTGTGACTGCATATGTACTTGACTAATCTCACCTATTCCAAGCTGCTTAAAGTCAAGGCTCATATCGTCTTTGTTTTTTTTCCCCCTCCCTCAATACTAAAATCAATGCCCTATACGGGGTATAACATCTAATAAATATTTGTGGAATGAATGAAGCATAGAACAATTAGTCATCAACTATAAAAAGTAGTTAAATATCCTAATTATGATAAACACATTTTTTTTTTCTTTTTGAGTTTTACATTCAAAGTCAGGAAATAAACACATTTAAAAATAAAGATTAATTTGTCCCTTGAACCTCATTAATGCAGATTTTTTTTCACAATCTACTCAATAATTATGGGCTTCCATAGTTTTATATGAAACCAAGTTACTGAACTTACCAAGAAATTTAGTGTAATAGACCCCTGACAAGTAAACACAAAACGAATTCATTATTTAATCATTAGTTTCTTAAAATTTATTAGTTTATTCCAATGACACTGATACTACTTTTGTCTTATTTCTTATAGGATTTTATATTTCTCAGGAAAATAGAACAATAATCTATACTGATTTTAATAAATAACCTTTATAATAAAGTATATTATTTCATTTGAATATATAGCTTTCTTAATTGCATTTGAAATACAGTTCTTTAAAATGTGTGTTTTGTTTGGCTGAATCTATAGAAATAAAGAAGTTCAACCTCACCTAAATTCTGTCAATTTATCACCAATAATTCTGATTATGTGTTTTGATTTTTCTGTTATTTTTTATAATACCCCTATATGTAACTGAATAAGGATAGCTATCACCCTTTGCATGGGAATTTATAATCAACCAAGAGCAGGCAGATTAAATAAATCTGCTTTTGTATTGAATTTTGTTTTCATTATTTAGAACTAGGTGTACATAAATATTAATTTTATATAACAGTGTTATGTTTCATGGTAAAATCTCAGTGAAAAAAAATTTTATAACAAAAAAATTTCTGAATTACTTCATATCATTTGAAGGATATTAATATATTTTTTTAAAACAATGTCTTTTTTATGACAATATTTTCTTGAATTCCTAAATGTAAAATATAAATAAGTTATTTCTGGATCTAGTATTGTCCACATGCTTTGGTTATATGAATAGTGTAATTCTTCTCAGTATCAAATATCAGTCAAATTTAGGTTTTTAAAAAGACTGTGTATAATAGATACTGTTTTTGGAGGACATCGGATTACGTACATTTGGAAAGCATATTTTCAACAAAAAAATCCGTGTTGGCAAAAATAACTATAACTTGACTGTTTTCAGCTTGCTTCAAGCTGGAACTATTAATAAATATTAAGCAATATAAACTATGTATAGATTTTTCCTCAAGTAAGATATTTCAAAATCAAAGAATCCTGCAGATTATCTAAAGACTGTCGTATATCCTATATCATGGAGAGTTTAATTGAATTTGAAAAAGCACAAAAAGCAATTAAATTTGCCTTGTTCACATGATACTAAATAACCTGCAGTATGTTACACTCAAATATAGAGATAACATATATTTGCTAAACATTATTTAAAAATTCCTAATACTTCATAAGTTAATAAATGTCCGGAATTATTGATTAAAAATAGTTTCTACCATTTTTTTTTAATTTTCAAGATTTCAAAAGAAAAGCAGACCATTACTCATTAGAAGAAAAATAGTGTGTTTATGTGATACATAAACAAAGAAAATATATAACATTTTACTACATACATCTTTTAGAAGTAATCACTACAATTCACACACACCATTGCATATATAATTGTTATAGTTGTCCTGTCCAAATTTATATCAACATAATCTTTATGAATAATTAACTTGTCTGCTTAATTTTAAAATATATTTTAGTTTAATTTCATTTAAATTTTAATTGTTTTACTTCTTTAGTATCATCTTTACACACTTCATAATTTTGTATGCTGCATGATGTTTCATCCTCTTTTATCAAAACAATTTTTTTATACCGTCTTTGATTATTATGACTTATACATCATTCAAACATATAAATGAGAAATAGAATATTTTGTTTTTTTTACATGGCTGTAAACATAAGTAAATGCCACATATTGGGATATACAGAAATATCATATCTGGCAGTGTGTTGACAAAATATCTATGATGATAAATCAATTTATCAAACTCTCTTTAGATACATGCTCATCATTTACACACAGTCTTTAGGCATTTAGTTATGCCATAGACCCTCTAGAGTTTTTGTTTTATCTTGTTATGTTATAGACATGACTACTGAAGAACCGCTTTACTCTTCTGCAATTGTCATTTTCTATGGAAAAAATGTTTATAAAATGTGGGTTGTAAAAAGTAAGAAAAATATTAAAGACTGTTTCCACATAATATCATAATTCTTTCTAACTATATACATTTGTTCAAATAATCATCTAAATAAAAAACACACAAATTGAGTATTTTATTCTATTAACTAATTGTCAATAAAAATGGTCAATCCAAAAGCCTGTAGAGACAAAAAAACAAATCAGAAACGACTAGCCTATTAGAATGTCACAAACAAAAGCAGTTTGTCTTTCTTAAGATATAGTGATTTTAGTTCTATAAACAATCTATTAAAATCTAGATTTGAATTTCTAAAATCATATTCATTCAGATAAAGATTTAAGAAAAAAGCTCCTTTTCACAAAAATATATATTTTCCTGTGAGTCCTCAAGAAAGATTTTAGGTTTGAAAGGGGAGATGTTCACGTTAGCTTAATTCTTTGGAGTCTCTAAAGGCAGGAAATAACAATGTTTTTATTTGATCAGAAATATTTTATTTCCAGAACTCCAATCACATCTACATTCAAATGTAAACCAAGGAGGTGAAAAACAACAAAAAAGGAACCAAGAGTCAAGAGTCTTGAATCCTCTTGGTATGGGCAAGGCTCCACAACTTTGTATCACTTCTCCCTCATACTCAATATTAGACTTGGACTAGATACTTTTAAAAAATGTTTATGGTTTTATATAATTAAACACAAAACTACTTTAAATCAGTTTTAGTTAAGTATTTACTTGTATTCAAGCATTAGTTCAACATGGAAAACTAGCAAGTCAATTTAGGGCAAAAACATGGGATGATACAAAAAACGAACCCAAGACACCAAAAGAAAAGGCTAAATGGGCAAACCAGGAAGGCTTGAACTCCAGATAACTAAAATCACAAAGAAGTTAACAAAGTTTCAATTTTAAAAAATACTTCATACATAATAATAGAATTATTTATTTCCATGTCTTATTTAGTACTAAGCTTTCTAGCCAGTAATGCAAAATTACAAATTTGTAAGTAATAGTATTCATAATGAGAAAGATAAAACAGAAATCTTTTATCTAAGGAAAATAACAAAATTCTACATTGTACTAACATCAAGAACTTATCCAAAAGGTCTCAAAAATAGAACATCTTCTGAACTAATGAACACTGATCCCATAAAGATTCCATAAATGATTCTCTATTACAAATTCTACCAGAATAATATTTCATGGTTCTAAAATTTAATAATTTCAGAAACAGAAAGAAACTGACCAATAGCTCTTAAAATATATATTTTTAAAAATGAAAGAAACATACAATGAAAAACTTTTCAACTATGGATTTATAGGATGACCATATTTTATTGACAGAATTATTTGATAATGGTTTTAGAAAAGCAGACACCAAACAAATCAAGCAAACAATCAAGAAACAGAACCACAAAGGAATAAATCAAAACTAAATAAAGAAAAGCATGCTACAAAATCTATACACAAGATAAAATTTCCATTTACAAGAAATAAAATTGAAGTAAACATGCAAAAGACACACCAAGAAAAGTAGGATACACCTCTGGAGAAGGGAAATTAAACATGCAGAAAAATAAGAGTTTGAGTTTTGAGAGCAATGGGGTAGTTTGAGGCCCAATTTACCTTCACTGTCTGACATGGCATGTTGGAAGTCATCCATGATGAATGCTATGTCACGGTCATAGCCTCGAGTCCGTGATTCTTCCCTCATGTGTTGCTGAACTTCAGGCAATGAGTGGCTCGATCCAAACTGATCCCTAGTGTCTGCAGATATTGGTGGCAGGGGTCCGGCTGCAGCCCTGGCCATTCCCATTGGCTGGCCAACAGGACTGAGTGGGCTTTCTTCTTCAGAATTCTGGGCCACAATTGGTATTCTTCCTCTACTTTGACTGATTGGCAAACTGGTCGGCTTAGTTCTGGCAGAGGATGATGCATGACTAAAGGAAACATCTAGAGCTTCAGCCTCTTGAGCTTTCAGTCTTAGGGAAGAGCTAGAAGAATCTCTTTTAATTGATAAATCAAGCCCATAGACAGAAGAAGGTCTAGAGGAAGGTCTGGACCTGCTGCCACTACTGTATGGCTTATCTGCTTCATCCTGCAGAGCTGACCGTATGGTATTTCCTAATGTGCCCAGTCCTGTGCCAAGAGAGGATCCCATAAATTTTTGTTGGTCTGTAATATTTTTTCTGAGACCAAAAGTGATGTCATCTTGAAGAAGCCTTGCCCTGGAAGAAATGCCACCAATAGATGAAGTGCTAGAAGTCATATAGCTTGAATAATCAGGTTCAAGATCTCTACTTTCTTGAATAGGTGAAAATTTTGACATTTTAGGGTCAATTAGTGATTTCTTATGCTTTGACTGCTTTTGATAAAGTATGGCTGCTGGCAGTTGTTTTGCTGCTTGTTTTTCAAGCGTGAGTCTACTGATGCTATACTTTTCAGATTTTGGAAAATGTCGATAGCCAGTATCGGCATGGTAATAATGAGAAAGACCAGCAAGGTGATCTAAGCTCTCTGTCCCTCTACGAAATTCCTGTTTAATCTGATGTTTCAGAAGCTTTAACTCATAAGGATCCTCCATTGGGTCTTCCTCTGCCTTCACATAACTATGCAATCTAGAGGAAGTCTGTAAAGGTGCTAGGAAATCTGTCACTTCTTGAGACCGGCGTGTTTCAGTAGTTCGAAGGAGACGGTCTGTTTTTGACAGATCCTTCTCATGAAGGCTAAATGCGGTGCTTAATGCTGCTGTTCCTTTGGTGATCTCTCCAATGTCATCAATTAGGACATAATTTCGTGGAGTATGGTGATCAATATCTGCATAGAAAGAATCTGCAGATATGCTTGATATTGGACTGCTTGCCATGCTACTTCTTTCCTCCAAACCTATTCTCAAGTCTAAACTATTGTACTTACTACCAAGATGGGAAACAGCATATGTATTATCAGTAGAAACAGGTGCTATCATAAGGGGTTGGTTGCGAATTACTTCATAGTTTGAGGTTATCTTGGGCTCCAAATATAACGTAGTTTGGCGTGGCTTCTGTTGTATCACCATCATCTGTGAAGGTAACTGATAAGAAGGCTGTGGGGTTGGTGTAGGTTGAGCTTGAGGTGTGAAGGACATTGTTGCCACAGCTTGGAATGTTGGCTGAGTCTGATAAGGTGAAACTTGCTGGTGGTACAAAGTTTGTTGCTGGAAATGAGACTGTTGGGTGTATGAGGTGGGTGCTTGGGTAGGAAGAGCAGGGGAAGAGTATTGATATTGTGTGTAAGGACTTGTTGGAGGAACTAGTTGAGATTCTGTTTGGGTTTGTGGTGGTATAAACTGGTTGAATTCAGTTTGAGGAGCAGTTCTTGGTCGCTCAATGCCATGCTGACTTTCTATTCGGGTTGGTCTTGTGCTGCTCACTTCACTGTCAGACATGTAATCACGATCCTCAGCTACCCCCTGGAGATAGGCTCGTTCTCTCTTTTCTCTCTCCTTTAATAATGCCTCTTTCCTCCTGTTAATTCCCATTTCCAGGTATCGTAGCTTGGCATCAATCTCCTTTTCTTCTTCATCAAGCTCTGCTTGTTTCTTTCTGAGCTTTGCAGATTCCCTTTCCACAAGATCAAGCTCTCGGTCTATGTCCTGGAGAATCTTGGCTCTTGCCATGGTATTGGTTCTGCAGATCCTTCTCCTGGAAACTGTGCCCATTGTGCTGAATGTGGATTGAGTTCCTGTGGAAATCTCCTCGGGAGGCGGATTTGGCAGAGTCCTTTTAACTTTTTTCTGGGATCCAGAGGGTGTCATGGTTTGAGAACCTTTAGTCTATAATCAAGTAAACAAAATATAGTACTTTATTATAAAGAAAAAAGAAATCAACCTCCATGATTTGCATTTAATAAAAATGTTTTCATGTATGATTTTGCTATCACAGCATGATAAAATATATACATAAAATTTCAGGTATTGGTTACAAATATAATTAACTGAAAAATAAATTTTTTATAAATTGATTATAACTCCTATAACATTAGCAGCTATAAAAACTCATTTTTTCATCTAAATTAATATACATAAGATTATTTACTGAATCTATTCCCAGAGTGTTTCTGTTAACCATCAAAAATTTAAATTACACTTGCTGAAGATGTTCACTTACCGTGTTAAATCTCATATTGCACCTATCTTCTCATTCCTACTTTTACCCCCGGAGCAGCTATCATTCCTATTTTTAAAAGTACACACTCAATTATCTAATGTCTTCTTTTTCCTAAAAAGAGGATAATCTTGACTAATTTTTTATTTAATATTTCAAGATTTTCATGACTTTGGATCTTATGTTTCTTTGACCTTATTATCTTTCAGTATATTTAGTTTCTTTTTAATGCTATAGCTACTTCCACGTTAAGCAAAAAGAACTGACCAATTGAAATCCATTGGAATTTTTTAAAACTCAGATAAAAGTATAAAGTTAGGCCGGGCGTGGTGGCTCAAGCCTGTAATCCCAGCACTTTGGGAGGCCGAGGCGGGTGGATCACGAGGTCAAGAGATTGAGACCATCCTGGTCAACATGGTGAAACCCCGTCTCTACTAAAAAATACAAAAAATTAGCTGGGCATGGTGGCACGTGCCTGTAATCCCAGCTACTCAGGAGGCTGGGGCAGGAGAATTGCCTGAACCCAGGAGGCGGAGGTTGCGGTGAGCCGAGATCGCGCCACTGCACTCCAGCCTGGGTAACAAGAGCAAAACTCCGTCTCAAAAAAAGAAAAAAAAAGTATAAAGTTGGTGAGTTTTCAGATATTTTCCATTTCATTTGGTTAATTTATCATAAACTTGCTTTCTAAGAATTACAGGTTTTGAGAATCATACAATTTTAGAATATCAAAAGACAGACTATTTTGAGCACTTAGAGTCAAAATAAACTGAGGTACTCAAAGTTTCCTAAGTATTCAGTGGCACATTTACAACTAAATCTCAGGTCTTCTGGTTTCTAGTTGCATATTCTTTACGAGATACTTTCTTTTTATTGTAATACAAATAGAGTAATTCTCCAACTTTCCCCCAGTCACCAAATATTGCGGACAGAAAAGTAATAGAAAAAATAAGATTCTATAAATGTTGGGCCTGAAAATTGTGCCTTATTAATTAGATAACATTTCCCAAGATTCTGTGCTTTCATTGCCTTTTTATTATTTTCAAATTCATTTCCTTGATCATTCTAGTCTGTTTTCCGTTATCATATTTCTGTTGCCTTCATGTAACCACACTGGTTGTTTCCTTAATAGACATCATAATATGAAACAAAATCCTAAAGTTTTATCAAAGTTTATTTGTTTCTAAAATTTAAAAATTTGGATGGAAATGAATACTTGTTATGAATCTTTGAAATAAGGTGTAGTGATTTTGGTGCAGTAGTTTGTTTTTCCTCATAGAGAAATACCAAGTTTAGAATAGAATAAAATATAGAATATGACCTATATTTCATTCTAATTTATAGGATATGATCTATATAGCATATGACCTATATTTTATTCTATGTTATATTTATTCCATATCTATTATATACTGTTTTCTAAACATTAGAATAAAATATAGGTCATATGCTATATAGATCATATTTGATAAATTAGAATAAAATATAGGGCATATTCTGTATAGGTCATATCCTATATTTGTTCTAATGTTTAGTCACTACCAGAAATTTTAAATATAACCACTGATAACATTTTCATAATCCAAAGTACTTAATAACGGTGGAAAATTCAAGTCCCAAAGAAGCCCAGCTTAGAGGCTATATTTGAACTTGGAAGTCACTTCTTTTCAAAATGCACATTACAAGTAGTTATATATTGTACATATATGTAAAGTAGGCTCATACTGCTTGTGTGTTTTTTTTTTTTTCATTTTAGGTTTATTTGCCAAAATTAAGGACATGTGTCCATGACAGAGCCTCAGGAAGTCCTGACAACATATGCCCAAGGTGGTCGTGTTTACGTGAGAAAAAAGTGAAGGAATACCGACCAATCACTATACTTGTCATATGCTCTTATGTGTTGATGGATACAGTAAACCACTATAAAACATGTATTCCTAAGTAACAAACCTGCATGTTCAAACCAGAACTTAAAGTATAATTTTTAAAAAGACAGAAAAAAATACGTTATCTCAGGGAAGTTCTCCTGGGAATGAAAATGGAGGATTACTTGACTATTGCAGAGACCATAACCCCAAAGCCTGCAGGGGTCAGAGGGTAATAAAGTGGATGTGTTGACCTGAGAATTTAAGTTCTATCTGTCAAGACTGGCTCCAGAATATTGCTGCCATGAAGAAATAGCAACCCAGTGTGCTGAGATCTCTTTCACCCAAGAGAAGTAGAAAATCCATATTTCAAAATTTTGGTGTCTATTTTAAATGGCTTTAAAACATTGTTCAGCCCAAAGAAACCAAGGCTTTTAGTTGCATTGACAGTTTGAAATAAATCTCTCTTCTAAAGAAGATTGCATGCCCACTGAGAAACCATTAGAAAGTCAAACAGCATTAATGGCTAGTTGAGAAAAAGTCATACGTTTTAAACAATGAAGGAGGATGTGGGAAGAATACGAGATCCCTAAAGAAAAACTTCAGTCCTTTATTAGAGTTTTCTGTCATCTTCTGGTTAAATCTTAAATACGATCATTCATGAATTTTCCTCCACAGCATAAATATTCTTTTATATTGCCCTAAAATACATAACTATCCAATTTATTTAGATAGATATTTATTAAGTGTCCCCTCTCTTCAAAGCATGTTGTGAGGCACACTTATGCTAAAAGGATCTAAACTATAGAATCATTAAATCCCCACAGATTTAAATTTAACCATGTGTATGTGGAGGGTGTGTACTATTATTTAGGACTGGTTAGTATCACGTAAGAGGGCAGACATAAATATAATAGAGAATTTGAAGTAATGACTTGCCAACTTAGAATTCAAAAAGAACTGACTTTGACAACGACAATAAAAACTCAACTAAGTATTTAATTATAATTTAAAAACTTCTCAACTAGGCATTTAATTCTAATTAAATCAACATAAGAGTTCAGAACTCCAAATACAGAGATAAAAGCAATACAATATCATTTATTTTAAATATATCAAAAATTGCATAAAGAAAGTTTATTATAATTAAAGATGATGTAGCTGGAAGCCATGATTAAAGACAACAAGACAGCCTAGAAAAAAATCTTGTTTTTTACTATAGTTTTCTCTGTGGACCAGCTCTTAAAAGTTGTTTTTAGATAGACCTGGTGCCTTTAATCTGGAAAAAAAATTGTACTAAATATACTGGATATATAAATTTAACATATTTAAAATAGCTGTGCAAATAGACAAAGGGAAGGGAACAAAAAGTACCAAAATAGAATAAAGGTTTAAGAATGACTGGAAAAAAAATCACTAAATATAGATTGTAACACCAAGGAGTTAATCAGGATAACAAGCAAATAACCTTCAGGATAAGGTTTGCCGTCCAAAGTAATTTTAAAGAACATTTTCCTTAGGAAAGCTAATTTACATAATGCAACTTATACCATTTACATTTAGCAAAGGAAAGGAACTTTTGCTTGTTTTGAAGTGTCAAAGTGTCAGGAATATTAATGAAAACAAAAGTAAAGTACATGACACGTTATTCTAAGTGACTTAAATATATGTATGTGCCTTTATCTCATTGTCAGAATTCTCTGAGCTCAAAATGAGAATGAGAAAAGAAGGATCCATTTTTTTTTTAATATTGAAAAAGTGAAAAATATATATGGGCTATTGTTTAAAGTCCTAGATGCTAGACCAAAATTATTCATGCATTATTATATATAATCAATACAGAAACATTCAATTGATTAATATGTTCAAACAGTTAAGTATAATTCTGAAATGGATTGCTGTAGATACTAAAGGCATAGATACAAGAGACACTAGATGGAAGAAATGTACACTTTGCCCACAAATATTTATGAATATTTTTGGGAAATTATTATGAGTATTTTTTGGGAAATTGTTGTTTGAAGAAAATACCTCACCATACTGCCCAAAGCAATGTATAGATTCAATGCTATTTCTATTAAACTACCAAAAACATTTTCCACAGAATTAAAAAAATTATTCTAAAATTCACAGGGAACCAAAATACAGTCCAAAATAGCTAAAGAAGTCCTAAGGAAAAAAAAAAAAAGCTAGAGGCATCATACTATCCAACTTCAAACTATACTACAAGGCTATAATATACAAGACTATAGTAAACAAAACAGCATGGAACTGGTACAAAAACAGACACATATAGCAATGGAACAGAATATGGAACTCAGAAGTAAAGTTGCACACCTACAACCATCTGATCTTCAACAAAGTTGACAATAACTAGCAAAGGATAAATGATTCCTCACTCAATAAATGGTGATAGGATAATTGGATAGCCATATGCAGAAGACCGAAACTAGACCCTTTACTTACATCATATACAGAAATCAACTTAATATGGATTTAACACTTAAATGTAAAACCTAAAACTATAAAAACCCTGGAAGAAAATTTAGAAAATACCATTCTGAATGCAGGACTTGGCAAAGATTTCATGATGAAGACTGAAAGCAACTGCAGTAAGAACAAAAGTGGACAAGTGGGACCTAATTAAAGAGCTTTCTGGACAGCAAAAGAAACTATCAACAGAGTAATAGAAAATCTAGAAAACTGGAGAAAATATGTGCATGCTATACATCTGACAAAGGTCTATTATCCAGAACCTATAAAGCACTTAACAAAAAACCAAACAATGTTATTAAATAATGAGCAAA